GCCCGGGATTTTCTTTTGTTCTGTAGGGTTTCCACCTCTATACACTAACTCGTCCCCTAATTATTTAAGTTAGAGCCAGATTTACAGGAATATCCGAGATATATAATAATGATCTTTGTCTACATCAATGTAAGTTTAGCGATTCGACCATTGCTATTAAATTAGGTTGCAAAAAATCTTTCGGTTTTTTTCATTTAAGTTGAATTATTAATTAATGATTCCACAATAATCAAATATCTCTTCCAATCGCTCGATTATTTCCTGTAAGTAAAAGGAATCAATTATTTATTTGGAACAAAATGAATCTTTTCCAAAATCTGTTAACTAAATTGTTATTATTTTTATGGCATAGCTTATATCCATATATTCTTTCCTTATTTTCTATTTCATTCCTTCATCTAACGAAAAGGCCTGGTCCTACCATTACATTTATCTATTTGGGTACTAATATTATCCAAGAACTATTTATCTTATTTAGTTTTTTTATTTATTTATAATCCATCCCAAAATTTCCTAAGATTTATTACCCGAAAGAATAACTGTTTACAAAAATTAAAAATTTTTTATTGATTTAGAAAAATTTTTTAAATTTATTCACTAATTTTTTCAAAATGATCTTAATTATCTATTTACTATCTTGCATTTAGAAGTGTTAATATGTATATTTTGGATTAAGAATTTGTTAATACTTTTTATAAATTATAGAAAACATTTATTATAGATTAAATAGAAAGTATATTAGAAAGTTTATAATAATATAATTTAATTATAAATTTTACTGATAGTGATAAAACATGAAAGTTGGAATCGAAAGATACATTTTTCTCTTATAATACTAATTCTAAATGTGGCCATCAACTTCTAATTCTATCAAGTACTGTTCTTCCTTTATTGATAGAAATGGTCATTATACAGAGCTGAAAATCCAACTAGCACATCGTGCGAAGAAAGTTGGCCAGTGATAAATTATTAGATTAAAATAATGAATGTAATGAATAGATATCCACTTATTAATATGCTAAAATTATAATCTATAAGTAACAGATAACAGTGATACATTACATTAATATTTTAAAGCAGGCTTTGTAAAAACAAGTCAAGGGTGCATTGAAATTGATGCCAGTTATAATAATTAAAAAGGTACCTAAAGGCTATGCAGTTGGTTCATGGGTTATAATAAAACTGTTTATTGTTGGAATAGTGATGCTGTTACAAGTGATTAAAATTGAATTAATAAACATTGCAATCATATTAAGGTACTGCTACTGGCTTTTCTACAATACTAATAAAGATTTTCAAGTTTTGATAAATAATCTTACATTCTTTGTGGAAAAATTAATATTGTCATTTCTGTTAAGAACTCCAACCAATAACATTAACAATCGAAACTTGTTATGTAAACAGTACTTTCAATTCTTATTGGTTCTAAATGCGCTAAATGTAAAGTTAAAACTGACAATAATGTTTCGACCATTTTCAAATTTCAACTAAATTGTCGTTTTTGAAATTTAGATTTGTAATGATGTTTAGTCTATTGTA